GAAGGGAAGCTGGAGTAAACTGTGCAATGACTCCTGGTTTTTCTTTTACCGTTCCATTCACACCGTGCTTTTCTGCGCGCCCAAAACTCCCGGGCCCCTCTGCGGTGACCAATAAACACTCCAAGGGGACTGGCATATTTACATTGGGATGGTTTCAGGAGTCAATCGATGGGCATATTAACCTGGAACCCCACTGACCCCTGTTTTGATAGGAAAAGGCCATATTTTGGGTGGTTGGTGGTCCAAAATAGAGGTCATTCAGGTTCTAGGAATGCATATTACATGGAGTGTCTGGGATGTCATACACGCGGGCCGCTTTTCACCCCAGGTCAACGAATCGCAGATCGTGGGATCGGTACCCAAGACCGGTGATCGGTCGGACGACTACGTCGCATTCAATCGATCTCGATGTCTTTCCACAAGCCCCAGACACGACCCGTCTGGGACTGCCGGACTGTCGAGTTTCACGGCCAGGGGTGGTGCCAAAGGGCCCTGTCTGGGGCGGCCATTTAGGGCAGTCCCAGACGGGTCGTGTCTGGGAGCGGAAAACACCAGTCAGTCGTGGACTGCGCTTGCTTCTGTGAACCGACCCGTCCACCTGTTGAGACTTTGAGCGGGGACACCCCCGCTTTGAGTGGGATGTCCCCAATCTTTTCCATGGAAAAACACGGGTTTCTTGCAGCGGGTTCCACGGAACTCCCGGGTATCAGTAGGACTAGGGACTGGGGACTTTCTTCACTTCTTCAGATTCTCGACCTATTCGTCCAATGATGCATGATGATGAGCCATGGTGCCCAGCAACCGACGTGGGGAAGTTCCACCCCCCTTCACTCAGACTTGACAGCTCGGTTTGGGACAAGAACCTTTCCCAGCCCTGGGGAGTCACCTGTTTTTTCTAGAGACCAAACATGTCCCCTGTTTTGATAGGAAGTTTTGGGCAGACATTGGATAAGGAGTGCTGCTCCAAAAAAGAGCTCACCAAAAGGCTCCAAATAAACAAACACACACGCGGACAACAACGTCTCCACATCACCCATATGATGAAAACGGTTCGGACTTCACGGAGCTTCTCCCCACGGATTTTCACCTCAAAACACTTCACCGCTGCTTGAAACGCCCGGTCCAGCGGACCACCCCCGGCGACCCCCCGGCAGGAAATCCGCGCGACACGCCGGTCCTGGTCGGCGCGAGCGTGGGCGGCCGCCGCTTTTTCGGCTTCGCTCTTGACCTGGCCAAGCGCGAGGGAAAAAGCGAAGCAAATGGAGTTCCGAAGATCTGAGTGAAGAGGAGTGAATTTTGCTTGTGCCAGCACCCAACTTCACAGGTCACCTGCCACCTGTCTCCAAAAGCCAACGGTGGTTGACCGGGAGGCAGGGTGGTCTACCGGGTGTTGGAGGTCGAGGTCGACCGGGCCCATGGTGCTATGTGAAAAGAATGCAAAGCAGCGATCTGCCGATCTGGACTCTCGACTTCTAACACTCCACTTGCACCACTTCTATAACCGGATGCAGTCCACCCCAGTTCAAACCAAGCGTGCAAAAAATTATCCAAGGGGAAGGTTCCAGAAACAGGCCCAAAGAAGTAGGTCAATCACTGTGAGGTCATGGAACACGAATTCCTGAGGCCTTATTGCACGAGTTGAGATCTTTTTCTCATGTTGAGGAAAAAACATCATGACTCATTCCAGCTGAGCCCGTATCGCTCAAAAAAATGAGGTGCTTGGAACAAAAAAGCAATGAACACACCACACGCTTTACACACACACGCCCCTTCTCCCAGCGGGTGGTGGAAAGCTCGCCCGCCCGGTCACCGGGGGACTCCTTCGGCCGTTCCTGCGCGCCGCGGCGCCGTTCCTGCGCGCCTTCGCATCCGCTTGATTGCGCGCGTTTTCCGCCTCCTGCGACAGCCGAAGAAACGGTTCGGCCGGGACCCAGTCCGATCGACGGTGGTGCGGGGGGTGAAAGCCTTCACGGGTGCTGGGCGGAAATGGTCCTTGGGGGGAAAAGGTGCAACATCATTCAGAATGACACAAGAAGAAAGAGAAAGAATGACCAAAAACATACCAAAAGCAACCACTCAATAAGGGTCAAGAACCTGAACTGACGATGGAGTGCCCAGTCAGACACGGCGGCTGTAAGCGAGGGAAAGGTCCTAAGGTAGCAAAATGAACGAAAACCGGATTCATTCTAGAAGTCATAAGGTAAGTCACATCCTTGACTGGTGAGCTACTACGGATCCACTACCCTTTTTTTGGAACATCTGAGAATCTGAGACCGTATCGGTGACGTGCGACGTGCGACGTGTGAGGTGCATGTCGATCTTGAATGTTTGGGGGTATATCCCGGGCAGTGGATGATGATGCTTTGTAAACGCCTTTCCGCCCAAAAACAAGACAGGACTCGTCCTTGACGGATTGTTACTGGGACCTTCATGGGACACCACCGAACAGATCGCCGTGGTGTCAGGTGAGCTGCCTGGTGGTAACGAACGTCGGATGCGTAGGATGCGTTCGTTGGATCTGCCACACCGGCCTTCAGCAGTCTCTTCTTCTCCTCCGCGGCTTCCTGAAGGACCAGACGAGCAGAACATGACCGACACCCTCCATGAACGCTTTCCCCTACAGTGCCCTACAGGCTATATAAATAAATCGATAATACAATTACATGAATCTCGTAATTAGTGATGCTTGAGATCTTCATCCTCCTATAGCTTCTGGCCCTCCTTCCTTTTCAATTGGTCCACAGAAAAACCGACCTCGTGCCGCGACCGACGGTTTGACGGACCCACCTCGTCTCTCGCTCCCGGGAGGCCCCGGGTATGGCGGCCATGGGTCCGAAACCGCCAACGGTCCGAGACGAGGGGCTTCGTCTCGTCGAGAAGATGGGTTGGTCTTCTCGGACACACCCGAACGACGCGACCCCGGGAACGGAGGGGCTTTTTTTCCC